TTCAAGCTTTCATAATCAAAGCCTTCTCCATAATTCTCACCTCTGTGTCATACTGCAACTATACAAACTTTAGTGGTTTTAGTAGCTGAGATTTAAGGCAACACATTTAATCTGCAACAAAACTCAGTGAAGCTACATATAAGTTGTAGTTGCAGGTTCTGTAACAAACATTCTACTTAATTCTCACCAAAAGATTGTTTTTCAAATGTATCATTGACAGACTATATCTCTGCCATGCAGAAGTTATTATTGCATATAAGATAATGATTGCTGTTAAAAATCAGACTGTGTTCATCATGAACAATAGATTTAAGGTCACTCATGTTTAAAAAGTCTTTATGAAATTCATAGTTTCCCAACCACAAATATTGTACACTTTTAACCTGCTTCCTCCTTTCTCCAGATGCTTTTCCTGGAGTTAAGTAATTTGGTATAATACTTTTTAAATAAAGGATTCAAAGCAATTTCTAATCTCTACCTAGACAATTTTGCTTAAAGCACAGCGAGGAAAGCTGTGTCATTTGTTAAAAAGAAGGTTTTATTAATGAAAATAACAACTACTGTCATCAGTCTTTCCAGAATATCTTCTCTTTATGCATTGATTCCAGGTGTCTTGCTTTCTGAAGTAGTTTAAACAGTGTATACATTGCACAGCATTAATATTTAGGCAGCTGCTAGAATATTTGTTTGAATCATTATGGTTTTGTGGCAGTTGAGCCCTACTCAAGGTCCCAGCTGACTTGCAGCTTTTTAATGTAATAATGTTACACATGCATGGTGAAAAATGCAGTGCATTGCACTATCTCTTTGCTATTTATGTCTGAACTAATTCTACACTTTTTTTTAATTGCAGCAAGAAGCTTGCCTCAGTGAAAATCACACAACTGAGCTTCAGTGTAGGGCAAAAATTGGAAAGCCATCTAGCACCAGTCAATAAAAAGCATTATATGGACTAACGACTAACCTGTAGCAGAGAAAGTGCCACAGTCTTTAATGTCAGCATATGTATAAGAGACCCTCTGTTCAGAGAGTTCTGCAAAACAAGGACCTAATGCAGACTCCGGGAGGGAAAGGGCTCAAGAACTCCTTTAGGCAAACGATGTGCTAAAGTTGCGCAATTATTTCAAATACAACCCCCCTTTCCAGGCAAGGTTGCTTCATGTTGAAGACAATGTCTGTTAGATTGAGTGTCTTTACAATTAAAGCGGTACTTGAAGTACAATTATTCCAAATGTAATTAGCAGGATGTACATTATCAGACCATCAAGATTTTTTTTTAATTTAATCTTATTTTCACCTTCAGTTTCGTGAAATGCATGTTAACTTCTTCCAGCTCTTCAACAGTCGTTCCTACATGAGAAATGTTGCGGTGATTTAAGTTTTCAAAGTGCACTCATGAAGGTTCAGATATTCTTTGTTAAAGAAACCTCAACAAACAACTATGTTGAGAACCAGTCTCCTGCTACATCATTGTATTTCTGTCCTAAATCTCAGGGCTGAATACAAAACCAGGCCTGCATGTGCAGTACTAGCATTGTTCTTCTGTTTTCCAGTCATGCTAATATTCCCCAAACTCCTTGCAGTTCTGGTTTTAGTGATTTTAGCTATTTTCCTGTATTATCTATTACCTCTATTATATATTATCTCTGCACAAACTCTGAAATGCCTAGACAGAGAATAACCATCCTTTATGATGCAGTGAGCTCAAGTGCCACAAGCCACAGATAATAAAGCTATCTTGGGAACAAGGACGGGCAGCTACAGTAATAATACAAAGGAGGAAAATTCTTGTTGCTTTTCCACAATCTCTCCACTCCTCTGTGAAGTGGGACTGGTCAGGCAGCTGAAACCAAAAAACATTCTCAAACCTGCAGGTGCCACAGTGGATTATGAAGTTAAACTGTACCAAACAACTAGACATCTAAAACAGCTTGAAGCACCAAAATTACCTTGCGGAGCACAGCTTAGGTAGCGCAACATTTATTTACGCACCTGTTTCTTCACTATCTTTCTACTTTAATTGTATAATTTGTTACTGTTGAGATCCTGGAGTTCCGCAGTTCAGTGTACAACAACGTAGCGGTACCTTTTCAAGAGCCAGTAAAGTACTTGCAAGTGAAATAACAACTACTCTAAAACTGTCATTTTAACCAAGAGATTTTGCATTATTGTATACACAGCCAACTATATTCACCTAAAAGAGTAAAAGCTAGTCATTGCAATGACTACTTACTCATTGTAATTATAGCAAAGATCAGCTTGTTGGCGAAAAAGTAATAATGCTATTTTTAAGTGAGCTGGGAAGGGAGTGGTACATGTACATATTTAAAGATGTGTGGCTGGGAAGAACAAGAATTATTTAAAAAAAATTAAGAATCATATTTTTGCTCAAAATAGGCATTTTTTTACATCTTTAGAAATAAGCACTCAATTTTTATTTCCTTCATTAGTAAATGAGAACAGTATCTCCCTGTTGCAATCCAAAAAAATCGCTAAGACAAATGGTTTAAGCCCAGTATAACACCAGCCATGCTAAATTTGCACTAATTATAAAGAAAGTCTAACATTCAACTTTCTTAAAAACCCAAGAAAAACATGTTGAAGTACTCTCTACTCAGATTGCCTCTTAGGAATTACTGGCTTCCTTGCTTGGCTTTCTAAACAACCATCTACATTAACATAGATTTTCTTGTTGCTACTTTTATTGCTACTGAATTAGCAAGATAAAGAGCATTGGATAAATAAACAGTATTCCTGACATCTTTAGTAATTAAGCACTGCAATTGCCGTAGAAGGTATTCCACCCCTTTTAATTCATCTCCCAGACAAATATTCCATTAGAAAGAAGAGCTCTTACTGCTTTCTTTTAAGTGTTCTTTTAAATACTTTAATTGTTATGAAATCTAATTGAAAAATAGGGGGGGGGGGGGGGAGGGTGGTTTTGTTGTGTTTTGTGGTTTGTTTGTTGTGTTTTTTTTTTAATCTTGGATTGCCTAATCTGAATTGTTTGGAGGCCAAGCTTTATTTCTGTCATAAAACATCAAGTTCAAATTGCACTGATGTTTCAACGCACTAGGTGGCATAAAGATATTCACATTAGAGCAGATTAAATGCTTCACCACCACCCAGGATTTAGTTGGATAACAGAAGCTACCCTTTCTGCGAGACAAGAAGTTCTATGGTAATTTCTGTAATTATAGGGATGTTAATACTGTTAACTCTCTTTTTTTTTCTCTGCAAAAGTCCTTCAAATTTTGAAAGGGAAAAATTGTTCTTATGTAAAGATGACAATATATAAATAAATAATTTAAAAAAAAGGTACTTGTGGCATCAAAATACTGGTCATCTGTTCCATGCACTTTCCATAGTTTCCCTATGGTCAGAATATCTTGTTGCTTCTAAACAGATATACAAAAAGAGTGAAAAGAGTACAGAGAATAGTAAAAGTCTCTTGTTTACTATCCTTCCTCAACTCTATAAACTGGCAAACCTGTGATGTCACCAGCTGAAAGACTATTTGGAGATTACTTAGCATGATACTGATCTGTGTTGTTTAACTTCCATTAGCATTTAGAGGGACATTAACCTCCTTGCAGGGAAAATTTGTTTCTTTTGATATATGAAATATCCCATTCTCCCCCACCAGAAACTCAAGCATGTACTGGACCCATGGAACATATGGATCCTCAACAACAAAATTTTAGGCAAAGAGGTTAGCAAAGTAATAACCAAATACTCCCATCAGATCTGTCTGCTCTGTTCAGGTGAGTAGGATTAACATCTCACCCCTCATGTTGCAGACTTAGGTTTTGCAAAGATGTGATTTAAGAATTGAAGGTCCAGCTGAACTGAACTACTGAAAGCAGTGGTAGGAATTTTAGTTAAAAATCCTTTAAACCATACTCCAATCCTGATTGTGACAAAGTTTACTTGTGACCAACGTTAAAGTAAATAATTACATATGAGCTTGATAGTTATCACTTTTTCTATGACTCCTGTTTCGTCAGCTTTGATATGGGCCACATTAAATGCATGTTGATGCTGCCAGGAATTGGACCAGGTGAGCTGTATCAATCTTTTCCACTTCTAACTCTTAATTCCACTATTATAATGGAAATAATGAAAGATACTTTTAGACTGATTCTGGTGTCAGTCTGGACCAGCATTATGTCAAAAATTTAAGTCATCTTCATTTACTGTAAGCTCAGAGACTTGCTTTTTGCTGCAGATGTTGTGTCACGGTTTGCTTGAATTCTGGACAGTAAATTACACAATACTTCAATGTAAAGTGGCAGCAAAATCATTTATCTTAACTTGAAGAGGCCATTATTCAGCTGTAGAAGATGACTGTTTTATGAATACAAAGGATGAGATCATTATTTAGTGACCAGAAGAGTTCCTTTTCCAAAACACAGCAGTATGTGGCAAAAGTGAGAAAGGAATGGGGCCTAAGAAGATGATATAATTTTATCTGGATAATACTTTGATGTTTGCTGTCTCAGTTACAATTAGCTTTTCTGAGACTTGCTGCTAATTAGCAGACTTTTTCTACTGGCTAACTGCTGGAGCCATTTTAGCTCTTTCTGTGCAATTTCAACTCTGGCAAATCACTGCAATTCCACAAGCAGGTGCCTTACTTGAGCATCAGGAAAGGATTTAAAGAGGTATAAAGTTTTCTGTCTTTTAAGGTTTATTTAAAATATTGGAGTTTCTTAAAAAAAAAATCAGAAAAAAGTACTTTGGCATAGTCACTACTAACATGTTTACGTGTTTTATGAACATTATCCCCACTTAGAAAGCTTAATTGTGCAAGAAACTGATTAAGATAATGCTGTTACTGCAGCTAATTCTGTAAAGACTGAAGACGGTTCAGCACAGAAAAACTGAGCATAGTATGGAACACATTATCAAACACCACCAACTATCAATTCCTAGAACTGATTAAAGACAGCTCTTCTCTATTTTACAATGCAGTCAGCAAAGAATTCCAAAGTGCCTACCTTTTCCAACTGGTGCATCCCTTCCTCTACACAGCAAACAGATGCCAGTGTTCTCAGTGTCTGGGGATAAAGGCACCTGAAACAATCCTGGCGACAAATCTTAAAAAGAGCAACTACACCTCCTTCCTGCAGAGGAAAAACAAAAAAGTCAGGAAAGCAGCACTGAATATTTCTCTAGTATCAAAACAAGATGGGGACGGGGAGCAGATTCCTTTAGTAATTTATCCAAATTAGCTATCATTACAGCACCAACAAAGAGGATGTTAAGCTCACACAGAGAACTCAAGTTGATTAATGCTTATACACTAAGCAATGAAAAAGTAATATAGCCTCAGTGGGAGGTGTGCTTAAGTGATTGACTTTTACCAATCACAAGCACAATTAATGTAAACATGACATTCATGCAAAAATTACAAAGAACTATCAATAAGCAGCAATAAAAATGACACGTGATAGTACAACCATATGCTATTAGTTTAAAACAGATTTTTGTTAGCATATATTTCACATTCCTCTACATTTCTGAACTGCATACAATGTTTACTTAATGATAAAATATGAAAGAGAAGCTCATATGGTTGGAGAGCTACTGAAAATAAGGTCAATATAGGTGTTCCTATACAGTACTATGCAGTTACAATCTAGATCTTCACACTGTAACACATAAAATTTGGACTCCTAAACTTTTTTCTGTAACTACAACCATCATGACAAAGACTTGAGTATATATACATCCATAAAGTAGCTGTCCTTAATCATTTCCAACATGGGTTGTAAACATATATGTTAGCAAAGTTCACAATAAATAGATATCATTAAATACAGACAATATAAGCACTTCATGTGTTATTTGATTGGGCTTTTTATTGTTGTTCATTTCAGAATGTTATGCCATCAGGTAGACTACAGATGCCTTATATTATGTAAGATCAGACATATAATGAAGAGGAAAGAATTTAAAAAAAATAATGATAGATGAAAGATCTCAGACTAAAATATTAGGATGAGAGTAGTAAATTAAAAAGCTGAAATAATGGACCAAGTGTAATATATACCCTTCTTTTTAAGTCTGTTTCATTAGCCTCTATAAAAGTATTTTTCAGATTCACAGAAATAATCTTTTTCTCCTCAATCATTTGTGATATTTTAAAACTCAACAGGACATACCAATATAAAACCTCTGGACTCCAATTTAGATTCCATTCACTTTTCAGAATTCTACTACATTTTTTTTGTGCAACAAAGCAGTAAAGAATAATAGAGCAAGCACAGTAATCTGTTCAGCTTAACAAAAAGTTATGCCAATTTATATGAAAATTAGAATTAGACAAAATTAATACCTCTCTATATATTTTAAGATAGAAATTTTATATTATGTCTTTGCACATGTACATGCAATTTCTATGACGTCAGTGAAAGCAGTAGGCTTACTGAGGTTTGCTCAGAGTAGAATTTATTTCTGGAACTTTAAGAAGTGCACATGTATCTCTATACTGCTATATATAGCCTACCACAGAAAGGCATTTCACAGACTTTAAAATCAAAGAGATAGTACACTAGCAAAAAAAAAAAAATTGTTGTTTTTTTCTTCCACAAAAGAATATTGATGTTTCACCCAAGCAGTAATTATCTATGAAAAATACAGAAAATCAGCTATTACAGTGTTGTCCCCAAATCTAAAATAACTGGAGATTTTATTTATTTATTCTCAGTTTGAAAGTCCCCACAGATCAATGGAATCAGAGATTACCCAATACTCTGCTTTGGTAGTAATAAACAGAAGTTAATGCACAACACTAGTAATGCTCAAGTGATGTTGGCACATTTGCATTTGCTTAAAGCTTTCCGTATGACAAATGATGGTCTGTTTTTGCCTCTGATGGACAGGAAGTGATTTATTACTGCATTTGTCAGTAGTAGATCTAAACTGTTTATTTTGTGCCCTGTGTGCCATTACAAAGCTGTAAAATACTGATCATGAGCAATGAACCTAGAGAGCTAAGTATGGAATATGGAGAAAATGCCAATTGATTCTCTGGCTTGTCAAAAAAACTCCCCTCACTGGGATCTCTGCATTCCTCAGGATTTATTCACCTTTTTCAAGATTTGTCCCCTGTGTTTTCTGCAATGATGACAAAACTATTCCTTCTGACAGGGCTACATGAATCAGTCAAATGGGTTAACAGTACCAATCAGACAAAGAAACATTAAGAACACCAAGCTTTGCCTGCTTTGGAGATTAACTTGATCCTTTCCAAAAGCTATCAAGGTGTCTAAGCATGCTTTTATTTATCCTTTACAGAATATTTGGCATTTCCAAGTTTTGACCAAATGACAGATTTACATCTCTTGCTGTAATTCAAGTTTCATCTGGGACAGACTTCACATACTCTGTGAAGCGGTATCTGAAAGAGAGGCGGGAGAAAAGGCATCCAACTCCAAACCATAATATTTTTCAGTTTTAATCTGAAATGATTCAAAGTACAATAAATTCTTATCAAGCCTTTCCTCATGATGGAGGACAATATTTATAATAAGCTTGAAAGATGATCTCCAATGAAATCTTCATAGTAACTATTTTCTAGAAAAGGAAGTGACATAAAAGAATGCTAAAATATATTAAAAGCTTCTCATAGGAAGTGATCTCCTACACATCCATATGCAACTCAAATAGTCAAACATTCTCCAAAGAATCATAGAATCATAGAATCATTAGGGTTGGAAAGGACCTTAAGATCATCTAGTTCCAACCCCCCTGCCGTGGACAGGGACACCTTATGCTAAACCATGTCACCCAAGGCCTTGTCCAACCTGGTCTTAAACACTGCCAGGGATGGAGCATTCGCAACCTCCCTGGGCAACCCATTCCAGTGCCTCACCACCCTTACAGGAAAGAATTTCCTTCTTATATCCAACCTAAACTTCCCCTGTGTAAGTTTTAACCCATTACCCTTTGTCCTATCACTACAGTCTCTAATGAACATCTCTCCAGCATCCCTATAGGTCCCCTTCAGATACTGGAAGGGTGTCATAAGCAGGCAAGATTATTATCATTATCTTCATTTTTGCCTCTTTTGGGAGGCTGTTATTGTAGCATCCTGTTCAATATTAGACTCTAATTGTCATCTGTGAAATGGATTTCTTTACAAAGACTTTTTTTCTTTATCACTCTATGTCCCAGTGTTTACTTATTGTAACTCTGGAAATGATTTTTACTGTCTCTTCCGGTTGTTACAAAGAGAAATCAATTTAGAACTAGTCTACATCAAGTCATGCTAATTTTCAACAACTGTTCAAATCTACTAAAAAAAATACGATTTCTGGTTTTTAGTATCTTATGCTCTCAGAAAATGAAGGTAGGGTTTTAACAGCCAAGACTAATTTATAATTATATTATAATATGAAAGATCCTAGGATCAAAACCTAATAGATATAATGTAATAAAAAATACTTTTGTGAATAAATACCTGCAATCTACCTGGGAAAATGATACAGCAACTTAGTCACATTGTGTAATGCTTAAGTGTGTGTTGTAAGCCTTAACAAGGAAGTATATTAGCAGTATTTGATACCAAGGGTAGGAAACTGAACTGCAAACAGAAGCCTAAAACTTTTCCCTAGTAGTTGCAACAAATGCTCTATCACAGTATCACAGTACCACGGTGTGTCTTTTCTCATTAAGGTCTCCAGCAGCACACCAATGCCATACACTCACCAAATAAATATGCCTGTAAAGGACAGAGGGCCATAGCACTATGAAAGCAAGGGCAAATACGAAAAAAGGTGAGGACCTGTACATACTTTTCCATGATGTGAAGAGATAGCAATCCTGCACCACAAAACTGTGTTGCTCAGAGCCTTAGGGGAAGCAGGTTATTATTGAAACAAGAAAAAGCTAGAGGTGCAAACACTAATATTTAATTTTTTCTTTTTAATTTTATGGCAGTGAACATAATAAAAGGAATTGCAGAGCCACTGGAAACTTGTCAATTGCTTTGGCTGACTGTGAAGAAGTGGAAGAAATTTTTTTAAAGTGTTGTTCTTAATAATATTACCCAAACTTGTCAGCTCTTAAATAAACCCCAAACTTCTACCCCAGGAGTAAATATATTTTGGAATTAGCTTTTAATAAGGGGAAGTATGGTTTCTAGTGTACTTACCTTTCCACTATAGTTCACTGCCATTCTAAGCATGCTGAAAGCTGGCAGAAAATACATTGTTGGTGCAGTATGAGTGAGGGGCATCAAACCCAAGTTAGTATTCAGTTAGCCAAAACAATACAGATCAGTCATGTACAAGTGTTTATCTTCTTGTTTACAAGGCAGCATTATCATGACCATAGTTTTGATGGTTTTAGATGTTTGTCAGTGTGTGTTTTCTTTAATGATTAGTGGGGGGGTTGTTTTTTTTAAGCTGCGTGCAAATCACAGTATCACAGTATGCTAGAGATTGGAAGGGACCTCAAAAGATCATCTAGTCCAATCCCCCTGCCGGAGCAGGAACACCTAGATAATGTTACACAGGAATGTGTCCAGGCGAGTTTTGAATGTCTCCAGGGAAGGAGACTCCACAACCTCCCTGGGCAGCCTGTTCCAGTGTTCCGTCACCCTCATTGAGAAGAAGTTTCTTCTCAAGTTTAAGTGGAACCTCTTGTGTTCCAGTTTGTACCCATTACCCCTTGTCCTATCATTGTTTGCCACTGAGTAGAGCCTGGCTCCATCCTCGTGACACTCCCCCTTTATATATTTATAGACACTAATAAGGTCACCCCTCAGTCTCCTCTCCTCCAAACTATAGAGACCCAGCTCCCTCAGTCTTTCCTCATAAGGGAGATGCTCCACTCCCTTAATCATCTTCGTTGCCCTGGGCTGGACCGTCTCCAGCAGGTCCCTGTCCTTCTTGAACTGAGGGGCCCAGAACTGGACACAATATTCCAGATGCGGTCTCACCAGGGCAGAGTAGAGGGGAAGGAGGACCTCTCTCGACCTACTAACCACCCCCCTTCTAATACACCCCAGGATGCCATTGGCCTTCTTGGCCACAAGGGCACAGTGTTGGCTCATGGTCATCCTGTCATCCACTAGGACCCCCAGTTCCCTCTCCCCTACACTGCTCTCTAACAGGTC